TCGTTTGCTCACAAATGCTCCGTCGGAATTTTCGTTTGCTCACCCTTAGTTCAAAAGTTATACAAAATTTAAATTATTAAAAAATTGAATATTTTTTTGCTAACGATTATACGTCTTAGCGCTGGATTTACCGAATAAATTCAATTTTCAGAAGAATTAGAATTTAAAGAAGAAATATCTTAATTTTGTAGGGGGTCAGCTTCACAGGGGTAGGTAAAATGTAGTTGAGCAATGTTAATATTTCACAAAAAAATAGCTTTACATTTGCGCTTTAATAGCATTGTATTTCGATTCGCTATGATTTCGAAAGTCCTAATCTTAATTTAAAAGTTCACTTTAAATTTTGATGTATATTTGCTCAATTACATCCGAGTGTCATTTTCGCTAAACCTAATTCTTACTATAAATCCATCAAACTTGTCTGTTGCATTTTTTTGGATTGCTTTTGATCGGAAATTTATATTCGCAAATACTTTTGAAGACGCTCTATGATGTGCTTATGTAGTGGCCGTAACTCGTCTGACACATTTTATTTTTCCGATTGCGAGCATACAGTGACGGAGATGATATTTTAGATATAGATATTCTTGGCACATGAGCATCGTCGTTTAACCGGATCAAACGAGATAAGTAGCCGGCCATTAGGAGAGATACATAAAAACGGAAGGTACGGAGGTAATTTGCAAGATGCGGCACATTGTCTCCCGCGAATGTCATAGTATTGTACGTATAATATATGCATAAGGATGATTTTGACCGTTTCATTATACCGAGACGCTCCTTCTTTGCGCACCGACAGAAATTCCAGAGATTCGCGATGTCTCCCGTTATATTTCAAGCATACGAGAAACATGAAGTCTCGTGTTCAAACACGAGTAACGATTATACGTCTTAGCGCTGGATTTACCGAATAAATTCAATTTTCAGAAGAATTAGAATTTAAAGAAGAAATATCTTAATTTTGTAGACAAACACTGTTAAATTCGTAATGTTAAATTATATCCAATTTGAGTTATTCTTAGTTATTTCTATAGGTCGCCACTGCTTCTATCATATCATTAATTTAACTAAAACGATAGAGTTAAACAGTTAACTCAAGAATATACATTAATTTGATTAAAATTTAATTTAGTACTTATTAAATACACACGTTAATATAAACAACATTTATATTAATGTATGCATTTAGTAAATAATAAGTTAAATTTTAGCTAAATTTAATATATTTTCTTGAGTTAAATTGTTTGATTAACTCTTTTGAAACTGATCACAAAAATAAATTAATTTATATTTTGACATACTTGGGTTACATTCCAAAACTTCCTCTCCGAGGAAGATTTTACTCTATATGCTATATAGTATACGTTACGTGTACTATATATTTTGAGTAAAATTTTCCTCAGAGAGGAAGTTTTGGAACGTAATTCTAGAAGGTAAAAATAATAAAATGTTATTTAAGGGATTAAATTAAAGACGTTAAAAGGTAAGATTTAGAAACGCGTATTTATCTTTATTAGGATATTTTAATCCCTGGCGCACACAATTATAAAAGGATTCATTGGTAACAATTCGCCAAGAAAATTCGCGTATTTCGCAACTTTGACGGTTATCGTTCTGTATAATATCAATATTACGTGGCGATAAGATTACGAGATGATTAAGAGTATTTTGAGAAAGAGACGGCAGTTCGATAATATATCGCGGTCGCTCGATTACACCAATTGTGCAGATCACGAGTCCGCTTTTTCCGGTGAGGTACGAAAAGTGCAAAGTGCTAAAGTCAGCCGTGAACGGCGTAGCTAGCTCTTTTAGTGGACTTCCTCTCGCGTCGATGAGATCATCGCAATTCTTTATTTGCATACGGTTACATATACCGAGGGTTTTGTAATCACGTACGTGGTTCTCATATTCAAACGTGCAAAGCCCCCGTTAGCAACGCAAATCGCACAACTCGCGCGGTCAGTATCTTGTCATTGAATAATGCAGCGAACATGCTTTAGCCCTTTAGTTCCCCCACGTGATGTTTATTTGCCTGACGTACGTTGCTCGGTGGGTTCAAGTTTGGAAACCAAGCTTTTCGATTTCAATGTCATTGCATGCAAAAACATCATGACGACGTATAATTTATAATTTCGTAGGAACACTTAATAGCACGTTATTTGTACAATGAGATTTGTATGTTTTAATGCGTATGTTACAATAAAATTTTCATTATCATGAACATAATGATAAAATATTGTGTAACATGATCAAATATGACTGTATAGAGTATTATAGAGAGAATTTTTTTCTTAGAATTTATCCTAAAAGTCATGGTAATTGTAGAACGTGGTATTTCAAAAAATTTTACTTTTTTAAATATTGTTATTTTAAATAACAATATAATTCATTAATATCTATCACATAAAATATAAAATATAAAATATGTTTGTTTAAATTTTACTAAAATAAATTTCAATAATTATAAAATATGTTAAGCAATTTATATATGATTTTTTATTGTTTTAAATATAAATGCCAAATAGGAAGAGAGGGATGAACATATAAAATATCTTATATAAATATTACAATACTTTATGATATTTTTAATCTGATTTTTATGTTCGATGACGCTCTTTTTACTAAAATATTTTACTAAAGTCACTTATCTACAAAGTATAACGCGGCACTGTCACTAGACTCGACGGAGTTCTATTTTTTGCAAGTAAATCCATACAGAATATATATATGTAATAAAAGGTGCAGTATTTTGAGATCTTTTATTGATATTCTAATAAAATGTTTCTTTAAATACGAATTTTCAAAATTGGATTCTAAGACGAAAATAAATGAGAGATATGTTTTGACAGTACAATTTTTAGTTTTGCACAAAATTATTTTATATAGTTTATAAAATAACTTTGTTTTAGTACGTAGTTTATAAAATACTGTGTTTCCAAAATTTCTCTCATTGTCGTAATACTCATGAATTGCCAAATTGTCTCAAATTGTTTATTATCAAACATAATAAAATTAGTTTAGCTTTGCGATAAAATATAACGAATATTTTTCTTCGTCTTCATGGATAATATATTATGAAAACAGCTTACTGCACTATTTTTACAACTTTCCCATTACTTCTCGGATAAACGATGATTGTTTTCATACTTGTTAAGACCTCTAACAAAGGATTTTTAAAGAATAGTTTAGGTTTTATCGCGAGGCAGAATTTAGTCTTATTTAAGTACACCTTAGGTTAGATGCAGATCTGAAAATAATTTTATTGGACTATCAAATAGACAATCAAGAATTACGTAAGACATCATAAGACGCATAAGCTAGTTGTTAGAATGTTAAAATTTTTTCCAGTATTGCTCATCATGCTTAAGCGTTCCATGATTATTTTGATGATTCAATACATAATTATTTGTAGATCTGTATCTAGCCTAATTCTTATATATTTCAAACAAATCACTTGTTCCATGTTGAAGAAATAGACAGAACATTTTTTATATTTATTTTTATTAAATCATCAGGAAAAAGCACTTTTCTTTTTAAAGTGCATGTCCCTCCCTCTTGGACCATAGCGTTATTCTTCCATCTTCTTTCTTCTTTTTTGGTCATTTTGGATTGAGTTCTTTCTGGATTCTCCTTTCACACTTTTTGGAGCAGATATCTCTGCATTTATCGGAACGTATTTTTCTGAAAATTGAAATCGAAACATTATGCATCGTGTGTTTTGTTGTATGAAACCTTAGAATATAAATGAAAGAAGAATTGTTTATACCGCCCATGTATCAAGCCTGAAGCTAACATAGAGAGTCCCAAATGTTCACATTGCGCATGCGCAGACCGTGCGTGTGAGTTGTACGTTGTACACAGTTGTTTAGTGTTTCTCACACATTGACAACAAACTAGAACGAAGTGGAACGGGGGAATACGGGCTGAGTGGCACATGCGCATTACAATCAATTTGGACTCTATAACTTTCTCTCTCGCACGGATGTTTGCTTCAGTAAAGCTCTAGATATACCAAAGTAGCGCAAAGGTCCTTCATCTTTGACCTAATAACTATATTATATTAAAAGAATTACTATAATAATACTAAGCGCTTATTGGAGTACAGCCACCAACTCAAAATTGGCGGTTGAAATAGCCAATAGAAAAGTTGTTGGCATTTCTTCTCAGATAAAAGAATTGCGTTAATTTGGTATCTAGAGCTTTGGGCTTCAGGTTCAGCACTCAATTCCTCTTCCATTTATATATGTTCTAAGTATGAGACACCTGCAATTTGCAAGATCGATTCGAATGCGAAGGATCTCATGGGTATGACGATAGATGCCGACACTCACCAGAGTTTCACGTACTATGGAATTGGAGCCGTGAAGGGAATGGAAGCGCCTGCGTGGCGTTTCCAATACATGCACGTTCCGCATGTATTAGTGGCGCGCGCGCGCACGCACACACACACACACACGCACGCATTTAATGCTTCGAGGTAGTTCGCCGCCCGCGCTTCCTTTTCTTCCTACCTTTCTCACAGGGTGAGACCCTTGCGTTCCGCTCGCATTCTCTTCAGTGGACGTCGTCGTCGGTGCGTGTACGCGGCATACGCGCGTCTATGTGTCCTCTCTCTTTCTTTCTTTCCCCCTCCGGGCTTCCCTCTTTCCCTGTTGTCGATCATTGAGCCAGGATAAGCAAGAGGAGCGCGAGAGCCGGAGCGGAGAGGCAGGCACCAGGCAGACGAGACGTGTTCAGTACGCCCGCGGCCCTCTCTCGACGTGTACGGAGTCGCGTCGTCGGTCGAGTTACCCACGGCGACGCCGACGTCGATCCTTCTCGGGAGGAGCATCGACTGATAGAGAGAGAGAGAGAGAGAGAGAGAGAGAAAGAGAGAGATCGATCGTCCAGGTCCGTGGATTAGAAGTGTGCGCGTGCGACATCCAGGTAATAACGAGAGAGGTGGGGTTCCCGTATTCCCGGTGACAGAATACGCGCCCTTCGACTCCGAGCTGCTCCGATCGCGGCTCCATTCCGTACGATCCAGGGATCGAAACGCTCGATTCTTCGATCGCGTTCCAATTGCTCGCAAACGTCGCTCTCGATTCTTTTTCTTCCTTTTGTTTGCCGGTGCGGGGTACGGGATGTCCGGAAAGGTGCGTATACGCCCAATGAGGGGGAGAGCTCGTTCCCTCGAGCAGGTTTGAGGCACGACGGAATTTACAGTGCGTAAATTTTATTCCGTTGTAAACCGCACGTCTTCTTTCAAGCATGAATCTCTTGAATGTTTAAGTATCCTCTTCCCTAAATTTTCTTCCCTAGATAATCTGATAAGAAATCAGTTTCGAATTCATCTTATTAATTGTTAGTACCGTAATTTTCATAATTAGGCTTTATATTTTAAAGTGTACATGAAGTTTAATAGAAATTAAATGGAATTCAAAAGAAGTGGCCAGATATTTATAAACATATGTTAATTCCAAAGACAAAGTTCATATCTGCTATTAAGTTTGTACTTTCTTCCACTTTTTTCATGTTCAATGCTGCCATATATAAGCAGACACGTTCAGCACATCTGGGATCTCCTCTTTTGCCTGTTGTGGCAGAATGATTTTGCAAGATCTTAAACAGAAGGCTTTGAAAAAAACAAAAAACAAAGATTCAGGCAAATGAGAGTCTAAATGCGGTAATTAGAGCGCAATTAATCTCAAAATATGATTTTTAGTGGTTTGTTCTTTTTATACATCAGGTTCATACGTTTTAACTCAGTTTCAAGTCTTCATCAGCGACTAAGTATTTACAATTTAATTCAACATTTCTTCCTTTCAATATGTACAGCCATTAAAGGATTGATAGATAGAAAAAGCTTTGAATATGATTGCTTTAGATTTACTGTTATATTTCCGTTATATAGATGCCATAATTACGGCGGCATCCTTTGACAAAACTTTTCTCATTTTGTAAATACTTTTAATAGTTTACATAATCGTCTTCAATTCACTACAGAATATGGAAAGAATCGCAGTATAAGTTTTTTAGATCTTTTGCTAAAGATAGAGGATAATTGTGGATTAATTCTAAAAGAAACTTGTGTATAATTTTTCATTATAATTTTTCACGGCTGAAGAGGACTGAGTAAAGTTCGAAACATTCCGTGAATCTTATATGTCACTCACGACGTAAATAAACTTATATTATTAGTCATTTAATTAATTCATTTAAAGGTTTTTTTTATCTTAGTTTAACTTCTTAACTGCTTTGCATAAATATAAGCGAATATTTATATACTTTTGAAAACTATTGTCAAATGGAAATCTTTTTACGAAAAAATTATATTTGATTATATTTGAATCAATTGACAAATAATTGTTTGTCCCATACAGTAAAAGGCTAATGTTAAGGAAATAAATTTAGCTCGTTTTACCTTTGAAAAAAAAGATTTGAAAAAGTTCATTGAACTTTCCACCTCTTCGGATATTACTAGCATTCGCTATCTAAACTATCTGAAATATGCATTGTCTACAAGATTTATGGATGAAGACAGTTTATATAGTACACACGTATACGTACATAATCGCAATTGACGTTTGCAACATCACTTTCTTGCATTAATAAAATCGCGATAGGGTATTGCAAATCCAAAGTTACATCATTATTAGAAATCAGTCGTCTAACTTGTCATGTAATTGAAGTTACTAGGATGACTTATATTATTCAAGACTATATTAATATTAAAATTGAATTTTATCTTAGATCTATTGTATAAGAAAGAAATT